GGTGCGTTGGTTTCTCACGATTGGCCTCTGTCCGTGGATTCCGCCCGTCAGACATTGGAATCCTTGTCTTTTGTCGCTGCCGGGGAAAAGGTCAAGTGGTGGACAGACGTCCACGCCCGGATGGACGTGTTCTTGATTCCCTTCTCTTGCCTCTTCTCGGGAATTCCACCCACAGAGCTGGGAGCCGAATGTGTGGCGGGTCCATCTCATAAATCTGCAGGCCGCGCGATATGAAACGGCAGGCATGGCCACCATTTAGCTAATGGCATGTGCAGTGCTTGATCCCACTACTACGACGCGGCAAGTGCCATATCCAGTTGTGGTTAAGAATGAGCATACAGGTCTGGCATGGGCCGAAACCTGTGATAGTCCTTACTATCTGCGGGACAGCAAAAATGATCAAACCGTGGTTGTGGAAGACCTGGCTAGTCCGACCATGTCTGCAATGGCCATACTCGGGATCGTTGGAATACAAGGAGCGAGGCAGACGTCCCTGGAGTGCCCTGGCCTGTTCCAGAGAACAAGATATTCGACGTCAAAAGTCTGACAGAGCAGCTCCGTCGGTTAGGGTGGCGTTACATGTGGATGGACTTGTTTTACATCCCCGAAGATCGTAGTTTGCTGAGCCGCAAAGAAGTTGCGAAGCAAGCCTCCATGCTGACCAATCCGAAAGACGACTGCAAGACTATTTGGTATTTGGACGGTATAAGAGATGTCAAGGCCAGCGAACTGCAGTGGAGGATATATACGACCTATCCAACCTGACTCGCCTCGGCGAAGTCCCAACAGATGCTTCTCCCATTCCAGTTCTGGTGCCTCAATTGGCCGCCGACAAGGCAGCCAAGGGATCCAGTATATATGGCCAAATACTTGTCACAAAGACATGCTGGCAACACTCAAGTCAAACGCGTACGAGTCTCGGTGCATATATGCCGTGGCCTTGTATGCGGACTCGTGTCATGTCCACGGCGTGCTGCTCGAGCATTTACCCATTTCAATGTGTAAGAAACAGTATTAACCAAAATTAGCACGTTTTTAATGAAAGGAACCCCTCTGCCTCCGACGAGAAACGTGCATTGGGAGGTGATGTAAATGCTCCGACAAGCACACTGGCGCCTGTTGCATGAGGAACGGCGATACCACCAGTGCAGACTATAAGTGACAACCTAGGGGTGAAGCCTGAATTACCTATGCCCACTGGAGCTTTTCCAGTGTTTTGAATGAGACTCTTGACTGGCAGAGATGGCGGGACATGGATGTTTGCAGATGTTTGGACTGGGACATTGGAGGTCGGATTTCCTTCAACGGCCGAGATTTCACGCATATTATTTAGATTTTTTTATAAAAAAAAAAAGAATAAGTAAATAATAAAAAGAACAAAACATGGGCTGCGTGAACAAAAAATACAACACAATGGAGAAACAGGGATTTGAACCCCGGACCTTCTACATGCAAAGCAGACGCGATAACCCCTACACTATTTCCCCTGTTCGTGTTGCGACGACGCAGCACCATAATCGGCTCATATACCTAGCTCGGTAGGTAGTCACCATTTTGTCACGTCTGATTCTCGTCAAAATATTATGCATATTTCCGCACTATTTTTACTATTTTTACTATTTTCGTGGACGGCCGCGCTCGTGCCGTCTTGCTGCGGTGTTCTGTCCAAGTATCATCTCTGTGCTTTTAGTGTAGGCACGTTCAGCCGAGAGTGGCCAGACAAGCCTGAGTCCTGACTCCTGACAATCGCTCATGTACCATGGCAGGTGAGCGACATGTCTACCTTTGCAGCTCATCAAGCACCCCCAAGAATATCAGTCCCTATATTCAAACATATTAATATAAAATTAGTGCCTTAATTTCGAGCAAGCACCATCCAGAAGGTTGCGCAGAGACGGAATTCCACTCCGGAGCTGCCATCTGTTCCGACGACGGCCGTGTGACAACTCGGTGTAATTGACTCAAGTGACGAGGCCGTGCCGGCATTCTACCAGCGCGGTCGCTTCTTGGAAATACACGCCACGCCAACATATGTCGTATAGCTGACGCCATATATCCAGACGGCCAGGCAAACACGCGCTAATTCAGCTCATGGTTGAGCTTGACGGCCTGGGAGGAACCTGCGTCAATGACCACGGCGGGATCCTCCTCGGTGCCGTCGCGCGAGACAGTGTTCCCCTTCTTGGTCGTCACCGAAGCTCTGCCGCGGGTTGGTATTAGAAAATCGCCTCGGGAATCGGGGTATGCGGGCGTCTGGTGCTTACTTTTCGTGCTTGACTTGCTTGACTGTGCCTTCTGGCTGGCCTTGGCCCCATTCCCAACTCACCGTGTCGCCCTTTTTCGGCTCTTTTTTACCAGAGGACCCGTTCTTGTCGCTCTTGTCGCTCTTTTTGCTTTCTTGGCCGTCGTCTTCGTCGGAAGATGGCTGTGAGCCTTGCTCGGTTGCGTCGTCGTCTTTGGTATCCTGCTTGTTTGCTGATTTTTTGGCACCATTGTGGCCGTTTTTTTGGTTCTTGGAAGCCGCCTTGTCCGTCTTTTGTCTCTTCTTCTCCCCATCTTGGTTGTCCTTGGGACCCCGCTTCGTGCCTACGTCTTGCTCATCGTCTTGGCCCGCATCTTCATCTTCATCCTCATCCTCATCCTCATCCTCGTCCTCGTCGCCATCACCATCGCCATCGCCATCACCATCACCCTCCCGCTCCTTGAGGGGGTCGTGGCCCCAGTTCTTCAGGGACGCATATGATTTTGTCTTCTTTACTTCCTCAGCAGACTTGTTGTCGTTGCTTTTGCTCTCCTGAGCTAGGTGCCGCTTGCTAACACGAAAGGCGTCAGTTGTCAGGAATAATATCGCGTCGCAGGACTCAACATGGGCCAAGGGGGAACAGAAGAAGAAGAGGGGGAAAAACATACCAGTATGAAACCACCTTTCTCATGTGCTCAATCTGGTCATCGGTGTACTTGTCCGGGCTCTTTTGTGGATTATCTTTGAGAATCTGGACAATCTTCCGCCCGCTATCGTGGCCGACGGACTCGCCGCCGCCGTCATCTTCTTTGGACCATCCCACGGCCTGGGAATCACCCGACTTGAGCCACTTTTCCAGTTCCGCCGCCGTCATGTTGACGAGGTCGTTGAACTCGTGGATCACGTCGTTTTTGTCCTTCATTGTGTATTTTTCGCAATGGATTCAGTGCTTTGCCGTCCTTCCGCCAGAGTCGGCACATGGTCCCGAGGGGGGCCGCATTTATACAGCTTGTCCCGGGATGCTCCATTGCCGCCATAATGGGCGCGTCATAGAGTCTGGTCGGTCGAAGCGGCGAGGCCCACGTACAAACACGGCCGTTTCTGGGGGTCTCGAGCAGTGTCGCTTTGCGCAACAGCCGAATTGGCTTCGCGAAATTCAAAAGAATGACCATGGTGCCATTCGCTCGATCCACTTCTCCCAGGTCGTGTCGCCAATCTGGGGCCGGCCATCTCGATCTGCCATTCTCATCAGGATGAGCCCAACTCCACAGACGCACATGCGCATCGTGGCCGCGGCCAAGCAGCTTTTCTTCGCCCTCGGCCAGAGGAGGCTCGACTTGCTCATAATGGCAATGGCATCCACGTCATCGGGCGTGGTTGCTGGGTCGAGCATGACAAGACGGCGGGTAAATGTCTTGGCTGGCACATGATGACAACACACGGCGGCTAACAGTGGACCAAGACGCATCACTTGATGTCGCACAGCATTATAGAAACACAAAATTGAAAGGTAAATACTACCTAGGTTGTATATATTCGGGCGGCCTTGGGTTATCTGCCTACATCACCAGCGGACCAGTCAACATTTGTGAAATACGCGTGCTGGATTCCTTATTTTAATTCTCCGATGGGTTGGTGTGACGGTTGTCAAAGTGCCATGAAAGCTTAATAACCGGGGTGCTTCCATCAGAGTTTATCATGGGAAATGCATTTTTGGCCCTCAAAGTCTCAACTGAGGGGGCGAGAATGTGATACAAGGTATAAACGCAGGCTACACTCCGAGTACGGAGCAAGACTGGATGATTTCCTCGAAAAAAAAAAAAAGGCAATTATATGCTGGAGCCCATCATCCTTGATTGGGACATTCCAAGTCATCTATTCCACGCCCCGTACCTAAAGGACGCGGTAGTTGTGTCCCGTACATATGTATGCCACCACAAAACAACAACTGTCGCTTCAACACCGAGGCCCTACACCCACTTGGTGCCTCGACTGGTCGCCTCCAATGTAACTTTCGTTTTGTGAAGCTTTCATTTGCATCTGGGGTGCCATTATTTCTGTGCGCTACCCTAGACGACATTCACGACAACCGATTGAGTTTAAATGTACATGAGTGACATGGCTACTGCCCAGTCCATCATGTTCGATGGCTTCACGTAAAGGGGCCACGAGAGGAAGAAGGAATTCGTTATGATCTTAACCAGCTGGAATCATCCCACCACGGAGCTTTCTCTGCCGCAAGTGCTGGAGCAGCCTGTCATGTACAACAGGTTGCACCTCCTGGCATCCAAGGAGAAATTCAGATATCCCTCCAAGACTATAGGATGCTTGCACCCTTTCTGATAAACTTACAGTTACCGACACAAGGACCAACTGCAGAGGCGCCCGAGGTATTCAGACGTTGCAAGAGGAAAACTTTCTTCTATAATACATACCCCACACAGCATGAATGCTGTAACCGAATTCCCCCCACGAACAAGAGGTCTGTTCTCCTTTGCATTAAACTTGAGCCGTTCCATCCTCCACCTCTCTTGATTAGCAGATTCAGGTCGGGGGTTGGTGGTGGGGTGTGGCTCGAGATGTGAAATTGCGACCCATTGACCCCATCTGTGTTTGTTGCGTTGATAGCCGAAGCGCCTTGAGCTGGTTCCATCCTATATCGGAGCCAAAAAAAAAAAAAAAAAGTTCGTCAGACCAGGCCTTTGCAATGCCATACAGGTCCTTGTTGACCATTTCGTAATGAAAATTATGGCGTAATTCACCCTGCTTGGTCGTACATTTCGTCGTCGTCCTTGGGCCATTCCACCTCAAACAACACATCCTCGTCTTCGAGGCCCGACACAAAGGTGAATGCCACGATGCTGTTGTTCTTTAACCCACATGCAGTTGGGGTGCTGCTTTCGTCCTCGCCTGTCTTGATTCTTTTCCATCCCCTGGAGGGGTCGTTGGGCACGTTGAGAACTCCATAGGCCAGTTTGGGATTTGCAGGGATTGCCATAGTCTTGAGCGGCGACACAACTGTGGTGAGGCCTTCTGGATATCGTTCGCTCAGAAGTTCAAGCAGCTCCTTGGTGATTTCGGACATGGGCGCCTGTGCATCTGTGAACATGAATATTGTGTGAATGCCGTGCTTGAGGCGCAGCGAGATGTGGCCGTCATCCACGGTAGTCTGTCGGAAACGTTAGTATAGTGAGCGGCACGAATTGTATACAAGTACGACGTGCCATGTTTGCGTGAGAGCGTTGCTGTTTGTGCACCTGGAACAGCCATCAAGTCGGGCCGTTGCTCGAGATTCACGGTCACCCAACTTGGTGAAGCTTCAGAAACGAGCTACGCCATCACGTGAGAGTTTGAAACTGGATTTCCCAGCGGCCGCTGTGGCTAAAGTCGTGTGTGGCGCACAAGGCACGGCATCACGGAAACTCCGCTCCGGTGAGGGACCTTCGACCTTCACTTTTGAGGCTAACAACGTTGAAAAAACGAAGAGAAAAAAAACGGCAACTCAAAGATAGCTTCCTAACGACGCTGTTGTCCGACAACGGTATCCTGTACTGTTGGGATTTTGACTGATCTTCAACCACTCACACCTGTATTCGTACAACCCCGCGGCAGTCTTGATCATCCACCATTTGTTCGAAAACCAGATCGTCCACGTCATCTGTCGCAAACAAGCCAACTGAATCCAACCCCTATCGCAAGATCGACAAGGCGACTTGATAAAGGACGTGACGTGACGAAAGGGGCAAACACTCTGACGCACGACAGAAGCCTCTCCAGAGCGTTTTTGGGATTTCGCAATCCTTGCTCCAGGGAACGGATTCTCTCTTTTTGATGGTGTACGCAATAGAGGCGACACAGAGCTCCGTCATGGATCTGCCAACTTCCACAGATGTGATTGCGCCCACCTCTACAACCACGCCATCACGCTCATCTTCAGTGTTTCACGGTCACGATGCATTTCCATCCGACCCATACCCCAGGCTGTCCATCTCAACGCCGGCTCGCATTCTCCTCGGGACGGTCTCGTCGGGGGTGATTGGCTTCACGCTTGGTGCCATGCAGGGCGGCCAGATGGCTCAGCTCCGCTTCCGGGCAGAACACGCACACAAGATGCCCGACACTACGACTGGTTGGTATCTCTATCACAAATCCAAAAACTATCACGCAATGCAGGGTGGCATCCGCGAGGGTTTCCGAATGGGGGCCAAGACGAGCTTCTGGAGCTTTGTAGCATTGGGACTGGAAAGCACCGTTGACCGGTATCGAGGCAGCAGCGACATGTTTTCGACGACAATGGCGACGCTGACCGTAGCAGGCGCGTTTTCCCTATGCCGTAAGTGGAATCTCGATGGAATCGCACATTCACTATCAATCACGTCTTCACATCGGGCATCATCATCTCCATGAGCCGCACCGGATTTAACTCTCCAACATGTGTGTCTAAGCCCACATTTACCCTTTTTCCCAAGATCAACCTCGCCCCCATCCCATCCGATTTCAATTACACAATCCCACTCCGGTCCCGTCAGCCAGCCTCTTGCCCGTCTCTCCTCTGGTGTCAGTCTAGAGGCGGCGCTGGAAAGACTGGATGAGCAGTGGTTGTCCGATCAAACGGCCATACGAGACATGGCAAGTGTCGGCTTTCTTATCGCCTTTGCAAGTGGCGGGTACCAGACAAATGCAAATGAGACGTGTGGCTAACTGGCGCCGACTTTCGGCCGCATGGATCAGATAGGTTCTCGCTATCAACGGCTGGACGCACGGCCAAGCTTGGACTGTTGTTTGGGCTTGCGTACGGGGGGGTTCAGGACCTCGTAGGCTTAGCCCGCGGCAGACCGATAGGGTATGTGGAGAGCCTCCGACGTCGCTTTGGATCTCCAACTAGCCACGCATACGCATCCCGACCAGATTCAAGCGCTGGCGGCGACGGGGCTTGGGACGAAAGATAGCAGGCACCACGCACCACAGACCAGAAACGGCGCCGGTCCCAATCACGACCCCAGTCGCAGCGCGCGGTAGCCAAGTTGCTTGACCAGAAAGCTTATCCACGCACCAACTTGGCATCCATCATCACTGCCATGCAGTCACACCAACCTACCCATCTCCTTTTTAGTCGCGTACTACGAACTACTGCGTACACACTCGCGCAGTGGGGAAGGCCGGAAGCCCACGGCAATTGGGCTTGTGGTCCCAATATTATGCTGCCCGCTGCCCATCATCATCATCATCGGCGGCGGCTGCCCAGAGTCGCCATCAAATGGAAGCACTGCGGGGAGACTGTTTGCGAATGGTCCCTGGCCTTCCTTGGGTTTGCAGCTGCCGACGCCATGCGAAGGGGCTCCATACCTTCTAAAGCGGATTGTGGGTTCGGGGTCCGACCTTCGGCCTTTCCGGCAGTGGCTGGCTGCGGGTCACTTGACCTGGTGAGCAAAGGCTGAGCAAAGAATGACACTACAATAATACAATAATACGTTGTGCGACGTACGGAGACGACGAGTGACCACCCAAACCCAAGTCGCATACCATGAGAGCCGCAAATGGGTTCCTTTTGCTTAGTAGTACTAGTAGTAGTAATAAGGCCATGTCCCAATTCTTCCACCCCGTTCATGTGACACAGCTATGAGGTGCACAAAACACTCCCTTCTCTCGGTTATGTATTTCTAATCGAGTGCAGCGTTGTACGTACTACGGAGCACGGGATGTGGTCCCGTGTCACTGTGGCATCGTTCTTTCAGTACTCCGTACTCCGTATTAGTACCACGCACTATCTCCGTGCAAGTTTGTAGCGAAAAAAAAAGTCCGGGGATACCGGGGTACGCCCATTGTGTAAACTAGCTCGCGGGGACGACGACGATGAAGAAGAAGAAGAAGAAGATGATGATGATGAAGAAGAGGGGAAAAGGGGGCAACACAGACGCATCACAATAGGAATTCGGCTAGAAGCAATGGACACAGCGTCGGGGAACAATGGACATGAAACGAGCCAAAAAAAGACGATTGGTTCCCGACGGCTTATGCCACGTATTATTCCATCGACGCCGTAGGTGACGCTGTTTGCAGCCTGGTCCGTGGCCCATCACGTACATGGTAGTCTGGTGCGTCTGGTAGCATGGGGGACCGCCCAGTCCCATCAATCACCACCTACCTCCAGCACGGCCGCGACGGAGCGAGCACCGCCGTGTCACCGCATCCAAGTGCTCCCCCGGTGCGCGCGTCGCCCTTGTTTCCCCAATGGAATCGTCTGGGGTTGACGAGCGCTCCGTGCTCCGAGCAACAACGACTCGCTTGCTCGGTGAGCGAGATGTGATGCGATGCGCGTGTGGCCCCCCCCCCTCCTGCCCCCTTGGCCCCGAGGTGAGACATGGGGGCGTCGTCACAGACCTGTTCTTGTCCCTGTGTACATGGCGACTCTGTGCTGCGAGATGCCCAGATCCCCGGCGCACAGGTAGGTAGGTCTCTCTGAAAGCGTCTACGGCAGGCGAGAGTAATGCGAGCTTGGGGGGGGGGATTCTTAAAAAGGTACGGTGTGCAACGGGAAGAGGCAGGTTTTGTTTGGGATTTTTTTATTTTTTCCTTTCTCTGGCACGGCTGGTCCTATCCGCCGTATCGGAGGCATTCCAGAAACAAGGATCGCGCAGGACGCGACGCGGCCATTGGCCAATGCAAGCTGATATCAAGTGTGGGGATGCAAGAAAAAAGGAAAAAAAGGAGTCGCGGCTACACTCGGGCGTCCAGGTTGAGGCTAGTAATTTCGCGGCGGGGGGCCACGTGATCGTTTTGCTCCCGATTCGGAAAGCTGGCGGCCGTGGCCCTGCATGATTTGCTTGACAGGAAGGAGGGGGGCGTGCATGCGCCAGTCCGGGGGGGAGAGGGAGGCGTTGGACGGCATGGCTCGGGTTTTGGTGGAGGCTCGAGATAATGCTTGAGTAATAGATAGCACTTGTTGCGGTCTCTTTGGTTCTGGGCTTGGCGGGGGGGCGTGTGGTTTTATTGGCGTGGGCCCTTTATCGGACCAGACGCTGGATGCCTGGTTCTGGCGTCTTGGTGTTGTTTTTTTCTTTAATCAGCCAGAGGCGACGAGAGGGAGAGGAGGCTCGCTCGTCCGAGTCGCCGCCCGCTCGTCGCCGCACGAGATTATCAATAGCCAGACCTCCGTACGCCGGCATCTGCCATGCTCTGGCTTGTTCGTTACTCGGCACACTCACGAGCCACGCCCCCCCTTCTGGCCTTCGTGTCCCACGATAACGCCGTTCCCGGACCCCCGGCTCTGGCGGAGGCAATGGCCAGCCCAAAGGTATAAGACCACGACTTTTTGCCCTCCTCCATGGCGCCCGCCCACCCCACGATCTTTTGGTCACCTGGTTAAACAGAAAAACACCGACCCCGAAGCGAAAGGCGAACAGGAAAGGAGACTGGAACCAATATTAGAGAGGAGCCCTCGCCGCCACCCTTTTTGACGAGAGTTGGCTTTTGGGGATTTCTTTCATCTTGTGTCCATACTAACCATCGTCGACATCATCGTCATCATCTTAATATACCACAAACGTTTGCCCAGCTGAATCTGCTGTGGACACTTTGCTGCTCTCAACTCTCACAACTCATCGCCACCAACGAAGCTCGCTTGCTCGCCTGCTTCGCTCACTGCCTCTCTTATCTCTCCATCCCATCGAGGCACCCTCCCATCCATCCTCCTACCTCCCAATATTCACTGATAAGCCCAAATCACCCAAACCCAATCAACGCTTTTACTCACACATCAACGCCAAACCACCCAAGAAGAACATAAAGCGCCACCCAATCGTCGCTTTGTTTTTTCTCCTCTCACCTCTTCCCACTCTTCATCATCACATCTTCCCCATCTTCCATCAGGAAACAAACCAAAAACCTAGCACTTAGACAGAGCTAGCCGACTTCACTCCTCACACGAAGCCAACAGGATTGCAATGAGACTCGCGCCTTCTCGCGGGTTTGCTTGCTTGCCCGTTCGCAGGGCCTCTACTTTCCCCAATACCGACTCATTCTCATCCACATATGCTCTTCTCGCGACGGCGGTGATTCGTGCCAACCATGGCCACATCACCGCTTCTCCCAAAGGCAGCTTTGCCCTCATGACCCAGCAGCGTCGGGGTATTCACTCTTCAGAGCGCAAGTCGTCGACCGTCGCTGAGTTGCCAGGTGCCGTCCCTCCTCCGGCCAACTTGGAACCAAGCCGCGCACCCCTCTCGGTTTTGCCCTTGAGCATGATCATCCGCTCCTTGGCCACGACTGTCGTGTCTTCCTCCCCTCTGCTTTTGCCACCGTCGCTGCAGATCATGACCTTGCTGGCTCACAGCACCAACCCCGTCTTTAACCCGGATAGAAACCCTATTCTGCGATACTTCCTCAAGAAGTCATTCTATGCCCAGTTCTGTGCTGGTGAGAATCCCGCTGAAGTGCAGGCAACTATCAACAGGTTGAAGAACATTGGGTTCACTGGCGTAATCCTGGGATATGCTCGCGAGGTTGTCTTGACAGAGAAGCAGGCCGAGGAGGTCGAGTTGGCTGCAGGACAAGAGACCCAAAAAGTCATCGACAACGAGATTGTGCCCTGGGCTGAGGGTACCCTTGAAACCGTCCGTTTGGCACAGCCAGGGGACTTTGTCGCACTCAAGTAAGTACTAGATGAGTGTCATCATTTGCAAAAGAAAGGCCCATCTTGCTAACCCCGCTCATAGGTTCACCGGCGCTGGCAGTCTGGCTCTGCATGAGCTGAAGCATAAACTTCCCGCCAGCCCTTACCTATCCAAGTCTATCGATTCCATCTGCCAGCTTGCTCACGAGCGTGGCGTTCGTCTCTTGTTCGATGCTGAGCAGGACGCCCTCCAGGATGGTATTGACGACTGGACAATGGAGTTTGCCAAGAAGTACAACACTTCTCCTGACACTTGCACCATCTACGGGACCTACCAAGCGTACAAGAAGAAGACCCCCGCCGTTTTGGAACGCCACCTTGCCATGGCACAGGAGGGCCAATTCTCACTTGGCGTCAAGCTGGTTCGCGGTGCCTATCTTGGTTCAGACCCTCGCGAATGCTTCTTTGATACCAAAGCCGATACCGACGCGTGCTACGACGGTGTTGCTGCGAGTGTCCTGACCCGTCAATGGAACACCACCCTCGAAGGCAATGGCGAATATCCCGCTGCCCATCTTGTCCTTGCCACTCACAACGCCGAGTCTGTTCAGAAAGCCCGCGCGATTTGCGACGCTGGTGGTGCCAAATCCGAGATCGCCTTCGCCCAACTTCAGGGTATGGCCGACGAAATTAGCTGTGAGCTGGTCGAGGCTAGCCAATCCGCACGTGCTGCAGATGCCTCGGCTACTCCCAACTTGCCTGCCTACAAGTATCTCGTTTGGGGGACGACTGGCGAGTGCATGAAATATTTGCTTCGACGTGCTCAAGAGAACAAGGACGCTGTCCAGCGAACAAAGAGTGGACGTGACGCCATGTGGGCCGAGGTTGTTCGTCGCGTCAAGAATACTCTTCGTCTTGCATAGATTTTGCATTCTAGGCGGTGAAGCGATTTCCTAGCACTTTCTTTTTTTTTTTTTTTCAATGATCTCTGTTGGCAAAATTTGGTTATTTTGAGAAATTTCTGGCGTTGATATCCATATTCATAGCGATTCATTTGGAGCAAAGGAGCACACTTCTATGATATTAGATTAATGAGAACCAACGCGGTAGAGAGAAGAGCGGAGAGGGTGTCGGGACAGATTACATGATGACTTACAGTAAATCAATACAAAAAACATTTTAAAATAATACTCCCGTCGGCCCAGCCTTGTTAGGATATCGGTGAATTTGTTACTTGCATCTTTAATAGAGATCAAAGTCCGCGTAGTGCCATTGCGCTAACTACAAGTGTGTCTAATTCTGCTCGTTTTTTCTGCTCGTCCCTGATGGCCTCCAGCCAGTCCAGGCCGTTGAGTTTGTAATATTTGCGAACTTTGGAGATATCTGTTGTAGCGGCTATGTTGGCATCGGTGACGTCAATGGGAGTTCCCTTGACATGCTCCGCTAAATGTGCCTGGATGCTGTCTTTGGACGGCGCGGAATTCGACTCCGACGATTCCGGCGAGTACGTAACTTTGACGACGGCAAGGTTCTTCGTAGTAGGCGAGATGCCAAACCGGCGGTATGAATCGGTAATCTGACCTGCCGTCAGCAAGTCTGTGCTTGGACTTGGTGCATAATTATTGGAGGACCAGAGCAAACAAAGGCGGCCATCAGAGTGCGTTTGCTTACATTATTGGACGGATTTAGAGAGACTACAATCTCAGAGTGTACATTTGGCGTCTTGAGTGAGCCGTTCGTAGCCGCGTTGACGGCCTTGAAAATGGCCGAAAGCAACTGCCGGCGAGACACCACCTACAAATGAAAATATGGACAAGGTGAGCTGGATACTTTAAATGCTTGAAATCTTATATTGTCCCCGGAAACAAATGGAGCAAGTCATGGGGCTGACAGTACCACAGAGGCGTCGACAAAAGCGTACTCGAAGTCTGCATTTCGACTGAGGAGTTGTTGATGGAGAAAGTCTGCATTGTGGACGTTTTGAAAGAGGCCAAGGTAGACCTTGTATGACGGGGGAATGTGTTCGATCGACGGGGCTTCTAGCGTCATAGTTGGATGTTGTAAAGCGACTCAAAAGAGACACGTCGTCTATCGGGCAAAGCGTGTCCTAGGTGTGATGGCGGTGATGGCGGTGATAGCGATAGTGGATGTTTGGGTTGTTGGGAAAAGACCAGTGCAGATGATCAAAACGAGGTTTAAACAACGCACGAGAAGATCTGATGCGAGCCCCGCAGTTCCGGCCGTGCCGCCCCACCCTTGTGGTTTTTGTGGGCGGCTTGCGGCTTTGGACGATGAGCTTGAGGGCGAAAAAAATGCGTGCGGGCCAAGTTGGCGCTTAAACAGCCAAAAATAAGGATGGTGCCATCGTAGTCTCCGTCGTCGTCATCATTATTGTTCTTTACTTGGCTCCGAGAGACATTGCCTCGTAAGGGGCAACATGGGCTCTTCCGTCTCCGAGCCATCTCTTGGATCTTGTACAGGCTGCAAGCTGCCGGCTCTCGCCGTCCGAAGACAAAACGCAGGCACCTTGAAGCTTCCCGTCATGACTCGATAGTGCCGGCAAAGTACAGAGTTGATGTGCTCCCCAAACAGATGACCAGCGTCCAATAAGCAGACCCGGTCAGTAACAACCCAGTAGGCAATTGATTTGAAGCTGCAGGATACAAGGTTCAAGGGCCGAGAGCAGCCACAATTCATCATTCATGGTTCGTACCCTGGAAACGATTCGCCTGCCCGCTTCACAGAATTTGCAGAGTGTCAACGGTCCGAGCCGCGGAAGCGAGTGTAAAATAAAAAAGTCTCTCGTCAGTCGGCAAGCAAACAGAATACAGCAAGCCAAAAATCGTCGTGCCGAAAGCGGAAGTTTTCCAGAATACATCAAGCCGGGAAGTTTCCTTGTGGGCTCGGGACGTTTTCTACTCGGGTTGGAACATTTAGAACTCGGACACTTCCCCCCACTGGAGCGTCCCGACTTGACAATCCGTATTGTTGGCGGGTGTTGTTGTCTACATCACACCATCTGGGTCTCCTTATTCTAAGTTTTGACCAGGCGACGGGGCTCGCGGCTGGTAGTCGGACATTGCGAACCCAAGCACCGCAGTGACGAGGGCCAGGGTCATCAGGGTCAGGTTTGCAGACAGGGCCGTCTAAGGCCGCCTCATTGGCAAAGCAATGGGTAAATAAACAAGACCTGGGTAATAAGTGCGGATCACGGTAACGAACAGATCGTCGCTTGCTCCGGCTAACAAAGGGGCATTGTTATGAGGAATCAAAGGTATAAAGGAAGATGAGTCTGTCTCCAAAGCAGGGTCATGGGTGAAAGATGTCAAGTCGAGTTGCTCAAGTTTCTCGGGGAACCTTGGGGAATTGCAAACACGCCACTTTTTTGTTTGCCAAGAGGAGACCTTCTAAGGCATTCTCGGGATTCCACAGGGCGCATTGTACAACATATGCACGTTCATTTAAAGGTGCCACCCTTGTCTGATCCCTACCCAAGTGCCTCAACGTCGGAAGGTTTTATTTGGCATAGCCCGGCCTTGACTGGCTGAATGTGCCAGAATTGAATCTGCTGATTCGGGGGTTTATTCGGCATCGGGGAGCCATAGTCGTGTTCCGTCGATACCGTTGGCCGGGTTTTGTCCGCGCGGATTGTCTGAACTTGACCATAGGTATGATGATTTGCAGCCTCCAAAGTCTGTCACGACCAAGTCTAAACGGATAATAGTACATTGGGAGGCGGCGAAACCACCAGCCCGCAGGTAAGAAACACCTTGCGCAGCTGAGGTGTTTTCGGCGCTTTAGGACTAGACGCCGCACCACCGAAGGACCATTGAAGCGTCAAAGCAGTCAACCCTTGAAGCCTGCTCGCACAGCCACCCAGCAAAGCATTTGACAGCACCCCAGGTGCTCGGATCGTCTTCTCCGTGACTGCTCCGACGCCAAAGATTGGCTTGGACGACTGGGGACTGTCAGGCTTCCCGTCGGCCCCCAAATTTGTGTCATTCGACCCCCAAAGGACGGGTGCCGCTGAAGACTGGGGCAGAGACGAGACCGAATAGTTTGCTGCTCCAAGCCTCGCTGACCATCAGCCTGGTAGCCGGTGCAAGGCGTTGGAGGCCGCTCCGGATATCCTGGCTCGTGAGCTTTGGGTCTTGAGTGCAGCGACGGAGTAGTTAGGTGCTGCATAGTAACTTGCTCGATATCATTCCCAAGTACCTCCGGAGTGCTTGTACCCGCAATTCTGTATTATTGGTGCCCGGCGTCTTATGCGTCGTATGAAAGGCCAATGGCAGCTCCCTCAATCATGGACGGCACGGCTCAGCTCCATTTCTCGCAACCCGAAGCCGCAAAGGCCGGTGATTCGACGTTGCCAGGGCCACCGGCGCCGCAGTCGTCAGTGTTGCATGAGGATGATGCTTCTTTTTTTGTCTCACCGAGGTCCACGACCTTTGTCGACTTCACATGGGTGCCGCGTGGCCCTGGTGCACCGTCGCCCGCGGGCCGATCATGGTCAAGGTCAACGTCGACATGGAGCGCGAGGTCGAGCTCCCGATCCACCAGTTGCGGTCAGGGCTACGGCAGTTACAGCAGCCACGGCTGCGGCAGTTTTAGCGGGCGCCGGGCGCGATGCGCAACGGGCCCTGGCGGTGCTGCCAGCCTGAGTCCTGCCAGCGCTGCAGGAGGCGCAACATGTGCTGCTGGCGGTAGCCTTGGCGCTGCTAGTGCGGGTGTCAGTTCTGCCGTCAGCGCGGATATCGGCGACGTCGACATGGACGCATGCGTTGTCGATGTTGACATGGGCGGTGCAAGCGTGAGCCCTACGAGCCCTGCAGGCCCTCGTGCTGCAAACCCCGCTGCGCCTGCTGGGCCAGCGGCTGCCAGGCCACATGCGCCTTCCAGCACACATGGACCACCTGCTGTTGAACCCGGACCTGCAGCGGCCGCTGCATGCGCACCTCCGCCTGCGCCTGCGAGCACCACCTCCACCAGCAGAAGCACCCCAGCGCCCACTATCCGCACCGCTGGTGGTGCATGTGCCGGTGCAGATGCCGCGGCGCCGCCGCACCAGCAGCACCAGCAGCACCAGCTGGAGGGCACCGCCGGTCGCTGTGCTTCCGGGCCCCAGGTCGCCTCGTCTTCATCTCAACAACATGAAGCTTGTGCTGGCCCACCAGGTTCAGTCGCTCCGACGCCATCATTCCGATCGTCGGTTCCCACCGCTGTTCCCACCTTTATTCCCACCCTGCTGCCTTTGTCTGTGCCCTCGTCTGTGCCCTCGTCTTCCCTTCCGACGCCGACTCCAACATCATCGTCTGGTATTCATATCAATACTGCAGTCCCGTCATCTGTCCGGCTGGGCTCCAGCGCCAGCGCCAGCTCCAGTTCCAGCTGCAACTCCAGCCCGACCGGCTTCGCCTCCATCCATGTCTCTTCGGCCATCTCGTCGCCCACGAGCATCTCCCCGCGCTCGACCAAGCCTCCAGCTTCCGTCGCCTTCAATGTAAAGATGCCCCCTCGCCCTGCCAAACGCTCGGCGGATGGTAGCGGAGCTAGTGATGACGATGCCAGCGCCTCCAGCACCGCCAAGCTAAAGCTGGCACGTTCGGATCGGGGGCCCGAGGATTTCTCTTCTGTCGTCAAGAACCGTCTTCAGTCATATACCCGCACTGGCCAAGCTTGCGACAGATGCAAGGTGCGCAAGATCCGCTGTGACGCCCTGCCCGAGGGTTGCTCGCACTGCATCAATCTGAATCTGGACTGTTATGTCACGGATCGTGTCACGGGCCGCACCGAGCGCAGAGGCTACATGCAGCAGCTGGAACGGGAAAAGAGCCGCATGATGTCGCACATTCGCGACTTGGAGCGGCTCTGCGCAGAAAAAAACGTCGAGGTCAAGCCCTTCCAAGGACGTGTTCGCGCCCAGAGCCCTCCCGACGCCGCTCAAGAAGAAGACGCGAGCAATGCCTCGGCCAATGTAGCCGCCGCCTCGAGCAATGACGGCTGGTGCAAGTTTGGCTCTCTATGGATCAAGGACAGCTCGACGCCGGACCCAACAAGCAGCATTCTCCGGCATAAACTTCCGCGCAACGAGTGGCAAACCAGGCCCGAGCAGAGCCGTTGGGGCGTTGGATCCGACGATGCACCTCTCAGCTCCTTGAAGGGAATGACACTTACTCTGTTGGGCACTACCATTGAAACCACCTCCTTTGATGCGCCAGATGTCGATGAGCCACCCACCGCTGCTGACCCTTCTGTGCCTTTGTATAACAAGTCAGTGCAGGCATTCTTGCGTTCCGCCATGCGCGTGAACCCTGCTGTTCAGGTTGAGTTGCCTACCCGTGAAAATGCTTTCATCTATGCTGAGTGGTACTTCATCACCATTGCCTCTTTCATGCCCTTGCTGCACAAGCCAACATTTATGAAACTTGTGAGTTTCCATTCACGTCCTGCCCTAGGCCCTTTTTTGCCCCTTTACTCGAATTGTCCATCCATTGACACTCTCCTTCATAGTTGACGAGAGTATATGATGAACCCGGTTTCAAACCCACTGTGCCCGAGATGGTCTTGGTGCACATGGTGTTCGCCATCATACTATTCCAATTTGGAGTTCGGAACAGCGAAACCCTGGAGCAGCGCAACAACTTTAATGATCTTTCAAACAAGCATTACCATTTTGCTCTCAGTAAGATGTACGAGGTCTTTTCCTCTGCAGACTTTGAAGCTTTACAAGGTCTGGTTCTCATCGCCTCCCATACGAGAGCCTTTCCCAAACCGGGTTGCGGATCGATAGTTGCAAGTATGGCTTTGCACCGAGCAATCGAGCTGAATTATCATCGGAGAACGAAAAAGCCTGGTGAACCAACAGATTTGCAGAACGAACTTCGCAAACGTGCCTGGTGGAACATGATGATGGTTGTTGTTGACATCAATGGCAAACGAGGCTACCCACTCCCAGTATCCGTGCAGGACTTTGACGTCGATTTCCCAGAGCCAATCGCTGACGAGCTATTGTCCGACGAGGGCGTCGACACATCACGAACCGTTCCTTGCCCCTATGAAATCGCAATTGCCGCATTCAAATGCATCCCCATTTATATGGAGATGTACGCGAATATCTTTAGTGTGCGGAGAGACGAAAGCAACTACAAGAATGTCCTCGCCGTCCTTGAAGCTCAGATGAAGCAGTGGGAGGCCGACCTTCCAGAATCCATGCGGCTTAGCCCGGCCAAGAAAAATGACCATGGAATGGTCGGCGCTCTCTTCGCACGCACCTACATGCTGGAGTTCCGTCTGCACATCAGACATCCGTCATTGGCAATGACGACTGATGCGGCCCTGATTGCTGAAAACACCAAAATTTGCGAGGAGGCTGCCAGGGAATATCTCCAGACTGTCGAACATCTGAGTAGGATGAAGGCCCTAGATACGACATGGCATCAGATGTCCCTGTACTGTGTTGCCATCTTGTCCATGCTAGTACCTCAATGGCAACGACGGTTTGAAATCACACAAGACGAAGTAGCCAGGCTGAGGGATGAAATGCAGAGGTGGATGAACATTGTTAGAGAAATGAGTGCCCTGCTCGGTAAGCGTCTCCCAATTGACTCCAACGCGCCCACACAATTGCTAACAGGCCGTCTTGGCAGGCTGCGGCACTGGCATGAGTACTCAGATTGCGCAATTGATTAACCGCACCATGTCTTGGATCGAACATGATATGCCGCAGAAGGATGGGAAGAATCCGATTCTGACTCACGTCAACGTGAAGCAAGAGCATACCTTGCCCTCGCAAGGCACAGTTCCGTTGGCACCACAAGAGCAGCAGCAACATGGCCATGCCGTTCCGTTTGGAGCTGTTGCCCCTCAGAATCAATCCTTTCCGTCGGCTGACACTTCCCAGGCGGAAGAACTCACCAAAAATTTCTACCATGCAAATATTACGGCCCCGGCGCATGCGACGTATCCATCCCTGGCATACATGGACCAACAGACGCAACCAAACCCTCAGGCCACATCCTCATACCAGCACGACCAGACCGACCTATATTATCCTAGTTCAAATGAAGCTGCTGGGCACCCAGGTGACCCTGCTCAGACTGCCACCCTCGCAGGATACGGTTCCGAGGCTGGGCAGCATATCTGCCACCAAAACTCTGACATGATGTGGAGGTCGTCATGGCAGAATTGGTCTGCTGCGATTGCAGAGAGCCAACAACGATACGGCGCCGATTCACTAATGACTCTTGGCGATGCAGAAACAGGAAGAAACTCGGTCATCACGCCCATAATGGCGGGCAACGGAATGCCTCACACTGGTGGCGAACTGCCCATGGTGCCACAGCCAACATCATGGCCATTGATAATGTTTGATCAGACTCCTCGGGATTAGGAGATGACGGCAGCCGCTGCATTGTTTTGATATTTGAAACCCTGAGAGCTTTGGCGTTATTTAAGTGCATAGAAGCAAAACCTATGAGGGCTGGATCCGACTATATACCATTGTTGATTAGAACTGGAGGATGGTGAAGAGGACGATGATACGCGGAATGAGGGATGATGGGACTTTGTACCAGGGTATTAGCATATTGTGGGGTCGAGGTGCCTTTATGATAATGAGGAATATACACGATATCCCATAAATTGTATATATAAACTGGCCTAAACCTGCACGCCACGATAGCTTTCCTTTCGGTGGCGGTTCCACTCATGTGTAATGTAGTTGGTTGCTCTGGAGCTCTATCCTGGACGATGCCATATTTGAGAATGCGAGAAGAAAGGGCCACGGAAAAGCGGGGTCGGGTTGGTTGGGGTTGGGGTTGGCCATGTCTCCATTTAACCGCATTTCAACCGTCGGACAAGCTGGGAGCAATACCGCTACATAGTCCACGACACAGTATTTGCAGGCCTGACCAGCAAGCACACATCCAAACCACTAGACTGTTCTATTCTTCTGCCCTCCGAGTCTACGCGCCCAATTCGTTCCTTGCGCATTCATCGCGTGCGACCGTCTCCAATCCTTGATACTTGACCTATTTTCCCCGTCAACGCCCCGTGCGCGACCTCGTGCGCGCTCGTCAAGATGGGCAAAAAGAAGCGTGGTCACCCCGACATCGAGGAGGTGCTAGCTCGTCCTTGGTGTTACTACTGTACGATTAGACACCGCCGCTGTTCAACTGAAAGGACTCGGGACTGAATTCTGACTTGGCATTATTTGCAGGCGAACGAGATTTTGAAGATTTGAAGCTCCTCATCTCTCACCAAAAAGCCAAACATTTCAAATGCGATCGTTGCGGACGACGACTCAACACAGCCGGAGGTATGAGAGACGCTCTTCATTTGGGACGTGAAAGTCGCAGCCTACAACGCAATCGTGACACACAGGTTTGCTAAATATCAACCTCGAACAGGTCTCTCCGTACACTTGAACCAAGTCCACAAAGAAACCCTCAGCCAAGTCGAAAATGCGCTCCCTAACCGCCAAGGACTCGAAGTCGAAATCTTTGGCATGGAGGGTATTCCCCAAGACGCCCTGGAGCAACACCGCAGCCGAATCATCCAGAACTTCTACCAGGCCCAAGAGGACCGGCGCATCGCAACGGGCAACCCTGCCTCGGGACAGGCGACGCCCAGGAAGAAGGTCAGGGTGGAAGCGTCGGAGGACCTCTTGAAAAGACTGGCCGAGTTTAGAGCGCAGAAGAAGGCGGGCATACTGCCTCCCGCGGCGGAGGAGCGAACCAACACCCCTCCCACGGAACAAGTACGTGAAACGAACGGGCGTACATGTTGCCACTTGGGCAAAGTAACGAGAGTCTTCTAACCGGCGTCTTTAGGGAAACCAGCAGCAAAACGCCGCGCAGCCAACATACCCCGGCCAGCAGGCGTACGCATACCCTGCCGACTCCCTACCGGCCCGACCTCCAAGCCACGCTCTCGGGGGGACTGGTCTGCCGCAACGACCGCCCCAGGCAGGCTACTGGCAGCCGCAGGGCGGTGCGGCCGGCGGCGTGGGCGACGACGTCGACCAACTGATCCGCATGGCCGAGGCGGGCGTCAAGCCGCAGCAGGCACAGGAAGCCGAAGACGCGGGCGACAGGAAGGCCAAGAAGGAGAAGAAGGGCAGGATGATTTACGACGATGTCGAATTCAGCCCGGAGGAGAGAATGGCGGCGTTGCCTCGATACGCATTTGTTCCACAGGTCGGCGCTTAGCGGGCGAAGAAAAGACGGCTGGGTTAGATGGGCTAGGGACGCGGATGCCACGAGTAGGCCTCTGGGCTGCTACAAGTCGAGAGTATACAATGTTTTGGCTTTTCTTTTCTTTTTTTTTAATTCGGCCCTTGTCCCGGCTGGCGTTTGGCATGTACAATATGTGCGTAGATGAATAGGAAAAGCAGGATTGTGCCATTGGCAAGGTTATGTCTCTGCTGGGATATGCGTGCTGTTTCCATTTTATTCCCAAGACTGCATCTGTTCTGTCCAGTCAAGTGGCATATCGCTTCGTCGACGTTGAGCGTCAGTTTAGCCGCGGGCGTCGTGCCACAAACATGTCGAGATTCAAATGACGCCCAGTCAAGGTCGCAGTGGCGGGTGCCTAGAACCAGAGGGTTATGCTCATGTCGGAAACGGCAATCGCTCAGGCCCGTCTATGAATCAAGGTTCGGCTCCTCAAGCCAACTCTTGCATGCTGGGGGACCACACGTTTACATAGGGCCGTGCCCGGCAAAGTCTACCATGTACGAACAAATACGCAAAGAAGGGTCAATGCTTGGAGCCAAACCATCTCTATAAAACGCCAGGCATCGCGCGAGGCCTCCTGCCCCCGTTTTCCCGCAACATGAAAGCTAGATACACACACAAACAGCCAGGACACGCCAGCAGAGCAAAGCGCCCGTCTGGTCAATCTTAATGCTCGCAAAAGTTCCACTCGACGCGCCCCATCCTATCCGCCGTCCGGGACTCGCTCGCCGTCCGCTCCTCCATCAGCTCCCGCCTCAGGGCGGCAGCCGCCTCCCGGTCCATGGGGAACTCGACGTTGCGCAGCATCATGGCGGTCACCTCCGGCGGCAGCCTGGACCCGCGGCCTCCATCATCGAGGCCCAGGCGGCCGAGCCACCAGTGCTTCTGCTGCGGGGCGACGTTGGCCGTGGAGACGACAGGGACGGCCGGGTCGACGAGGAACAGGGCCAGGATCTTGCGGTGGCCGCGGCGCGCGGGGTCGGCGAGGCGGAAGGGCGCGACGCGGTGCTGCAGCACGTTGGGGAAGAAGAGGGCGCGGCGGCCGCGCGTGAGCACGCTGCCGACGTGCTGGGTCGTCGGGCCGCCGCCCGGCCGGGCGATGGCAAAGGTGCGCCGGATGGTGCGCCAGTCGTACTGCTCGTAGCGCAGGCGGCCGAACTTGTCGAGGCCCTCGCGGTTGGCCTGCGTGCGCAGCTCGAGGCGGCTGGGGGTGATGTTGTCGCTGTCGTGGTAGAAGAGGGCCGTGGCGCAGATGTGCTCGTTGAGCTGGCCCTCGACGTGCCACGATCCGCCGTCGTAGCTGGGCTTTTCTGGCGTGAGGTGGATGTTGGCCAGCTTGACAATGACTTGGAGGCGGCGGCTGGGCGGGTCGCCCTGGACCTGCGGCTGCGGCTGCTTTGGGCGCAGGAAGTCGGTCGTCTTGACGTCCGAGGCGCTGAGCTTGAGGGGCGGCTCGGTGCTACTGGGCTCGGGGGCGTTGACGGGGTGGGTTTTGTAGAACCAGCGCCAGTCGCGGCGCTTGACTTCGTTTTCGGAAACGTGGTTGGGGTCGCGCTCCTCGTCCTCGTCGTCCTCGTCTTCTTCTTCTTCGTCTTTGGTGTATTGCTCTGCGGCATTGGCCCTGTCCTCGGCGCTGTCGTACTGCTCTGTTTCGTACTCGCTCTCTGGTTCATCTTGCTTTGGGGGGGCCATTTGAACGAGCAATTGACTTGGATTGGGCAATCCCTCGGATTTGGTCCTCTGGTTCCTGTTTCCCTCATCCTGACTATCATCATCATCATCATCCTCTTCTTCGTCCTCCTCTTCCTCGTCTTCGTCCTCCTCTTCCTCGTCTTCATCATCCCCATCATCAATTTCCTCCTCCGACTCCGACACCTCAGAACCGCTGTAGGGGTCTTCATAGGCACTACGCCGAGGCTCATCGTCCCTGGTCGGCCGAGCCTTGGGCTCGCAAGCGTGGGGGGACTTTGCGCAGTTGCGTCTGGTTCTGCATCGCACCGACACAGAATCCGTCGTCAGCCGCTGGGTTTCAAACTCTTCTGGCCAGCGGTAGAGAAGGTCCCAGGCCGGCAGGGCCTTTTCGATGAACCTCTCAATGACGGGGTACAGGGAAGCATGCTTGACGGGGTGCAGGTTGTTTATGTAGCTCTCGATCTTGGCACGCCCCTTTTCCACCGAGACGTCGCACGGCAGCCACTGGAATTTGGTCGAAGTGCAGTGTCGGTTGCGGCCACTGGGCGGTGCCGGCTCCTGGATGACGTCGCCCATGCCGCAATTGTCGAGCGCATCAGACAGGCCGATGCGTCGGTCGGGCAGGATGCGAGACTTGCCGTAGACCAAGGGCCACAGCGAAGGGTGCACCAAGTCGAGCACCTTTCCGTCGCTCCCTGGATGCCAGTCCTTTTCGTGCTCGGGCACGTCTTCCAAGAGCTTGACTCCTTGCCTGAGTGCCTGCCAGAGAGGCTCCGGGATCAAGTCATCAGACTTGATAACGGCAGTCGTGTAGTCAAAGACGGGCACGAGGCTCGTTTTCTGGAACAGGTCGGCCTTGAGCTTGAGCTCTTGAATGCACTGGTTGTAGGATAGAACGGTGTGTTAGCTTTGCCATGGTCGTTTACAAATGTATATCCGTCAGCCAGGTACACGTACGGCATCGGCCATGGCGGGCGTGAAATCGGCATACTTGAGAAAGGCGGCCCAGTTCATCTCGAGAGCTTCGGCCTTCCACCTGGCGGCGATTTCTGCGTCGTGAACTTTGACCCACCAGTCTGGCTTGTTGGTGATCTCCTCGATGAACTGCATCATGCAGAGCTCTCGGATCGTGAGCGTGTTGGCTTTGAAGTCTATCTTGGAGTTTCCCACCAGCACGGGGAAGCGGTGCTCCGCATCGGGGAGAAAGTCAACCGGGAGGCCGAAGCCAGGAAGTTTGATGGCAGCCGCTGGTTCCATGGTGAACGAGGATCAAGTTGCTGTCTAGGAAAGAAGGCTGAAACGGCTGTTGAATTGACAGCGCGGCGAAGGAACTCGACATGATTCGGAATTTGAGCACTCGGCGGGTTTATATAGTAAATCAAGGCGTCCACAACGTCAAACACGACGAGTGCCTGAAGACATGATATTCTAGGTTCAGGTGCTCACACGAATCTAGCTCCACTTAGTTTGGAGGTTAGGGTTAGGAGTCAGGGTTAACCATGGAATACGGACTAGTGTAATTTTAAAATGGGGATAGTACTTTGGGTATCAATCATTGTCTACAGCCACCTAAGTGGCCGGCTCACGGTAGATGAGTCCATCTCGGCAAATGCAGAACTTTGTCCAACGTTTAGGGATCGATTGATCGCAAGTGGGACTCGGCCCAGACCAAACACGCCAGGCGCCGACGAGAGGAAGAAACGTTGCACGATCTGCTATGCAAAATACGAAGAGTTTTGTGACTTCCCCCCCGGTACCCGGCCAAGAGCCTCACAACTCGGTGACTCACGATGGTGTAGGCAGCAAAGCTGGACCAAGTGACAGTCTGTGGCCGAATTTATTTGCCCGCCAACAGGGTATATACTAGTATGCTATAGTATGCTATGGTATAGTATAGTATCGAGCGCGACAGCCAGGTACCTGATTCAGTCCGACACATTTTGCCTCCCATACATGACATAGTTCACAACATCGCGTCCCAGTCTAAGTGCCCATCTCTCATCCTCCGCAGCTTTGTCTCCTCCTCGGCTCCGTCTTTATTTGGCAACGTATCCCCGACTCTTGGTTCAAAATGGCCCCATGATCAGCCTCTCTTGCCGTCTTGGTACATGGCCGACGAATCCCGCCAACACCATTATTCACCCTCTCGTATACAAATGCCTACGGGACCTCGTACACAGGCGTGCTACGGGGGCGATGCTCAGCAGGCGCTTCGTGGATAGCAGGGCCCGCCAGCTCCGGGGGCTTCGCGTCCGAGACTGCAGCGTCCTCGGCCGGCCTGCCTCTCCGCATCTTCCTCCATGCCAGCAGTCCCATCCCGCCGAGGAGCAAGAGGCCGCCGACTGTGCTGCCGACCGCCACGCCGGCCACACCCCCCCTGGACAGGCCCGGGCTGCTCTCTCCAGAACTCGCCGGCACGTCCGTCGCGGCCGACGTCGTCGTGGACATTGTGGGCACGTCGGATGTCTGGGTCGCGGGTGCAGTCGTCGAGGCCGCGTCGGGCACGCTCACGTTGAAGTAGTGGCTCGTGCCGTCCCTGTCTGGGCTCCTGGCGCGCAGCACCGCAAAGTAGAGTATGGCGTTTTCTCCCCTGGGCACATTCCTGCTCAGCCCGTCGAGGCTGACGGTCCAGATGAGACTCGTCGACCTGGTGCCTTCTATATGCCGCCATGGGGTGCGGTTAGTGCGCGAGGACGGACGGGTGGAAAGTGGAAAGGGGGCAGGTTTGTGGCATCGCGACCTACCGCGGAGTTTCTTGAGAAACTGAACTCCCTTCCCGGCAGCTGGGTACTGCTGGAAAACAAAGAGGTCCATGGTGTCAAGGTCCGACTTCCACTGGACGTCTATCTTCTGGCCTTGCTGGTACACCGGGTTGTCTTGGTAGTTGGCGTTGGGTCCATTGGCCGGCGGTTGTGTAAAGTTGGTCTTGCAGACAGCGTTGGCGGCCAGGGCACAGAGGAAAAGGATGAATGTAGCAGCCCCCATTGTGGTCTCTGGCGGAAGAAGCTGCAAGACGGGTTGACAATCTCGGCCGTTTGCATTCCCCCGGCTCAACAAGACAAGTTTACAACTGCGAGCCGCGCGGGAAAGAAGAGGAAGCGAGAAGCTGTTCAGCGAGCGCGACAGTCTCTTTCGTTTGAAAAGGGCGAGGCCGCCTCGGATGCAAGATGGCCTTGGTGTCAGCATGCTGACGCTCACATGCCCAGTTCTTTGTGGCGACGAACCATGTCATGTAAGACGAGCTGCTGAGTCTCATTCGCCTTGGGCCAGCGCTAGTCTCCAGGCCGTTGCATGGAGTTGCGAGTATCTTGTCTGCCCTCCAATAAGCTCGCGGTGTCGACGCGGGAATCGGTCCATGCCGCTTCTAAATACAGTAATGAACAACAGACTAGTCCGCGGAACGGCAAGGATCCGCCTGGAAAGAGATGCGCTTGCTCCAGGGGCAAGGTTGAATAGACCTTCAGCCCTGTTTACATGGCGTTTATTTTATTTTTTTTTTATGGATTGAGCCGAGTAGGCGGCCATGTTGAAACCGCTCCATGACGGCCATGATTCCGTTTCTCATTTTTGTCATTATAACCCGCCGCATGTATTGCGAGATGCAAATAGACCTCTGGTATCGCGCAAGTCGTAAATCAATCTACACCCCCGACCATCTCTGACAGCTGCTATAAAAACAATGCATAAAACTAAACGACAGAACAAAGGGAAAAAGGTTCCATGGCTCGGAACATGCACACCAAACAGTCGAAACACGGCGCAATAATTTAATAATTCCCGACGCAAACACATATAGGGTAAGCTATTCTCCCAAAGCCCATCCCGCGACACCACGACACAACTCACCACCATCACACATCCACCTCACCACCCGCAAACCATGCTCATCCTACGCGTGCCGGCCCCCAAGGCCATCCTCCCAACCCTCGCCCGAGTCCCTCCCAAACTACACCCCCCATGGCGACGCATACCCCAACTCAGCAGCCCGCACCTGCGCCTCACCCGCCCCCCAAGCCAACTCCGGTCCTTTGCTTCAAATCAACCGTCAAAATCCAGCAGTGAAGCCGCCAAGCGACAAGCCAAGTCTGCCGCGCAAAGCGCCAAATCCCACGGTACCAGCACGCGTCCCCCCCTCCCCGTCCCTATCCACAACTAAATCGAGGCCAGACATCCCCGAACGCATCCTCATCTACCACGCCGGCACCGGGAGAATCGCCTTCCTCGCCGTGCTCAAGCTCACGAGCCTCCTCCTCGGCGCCTTCTTCACGCTCCTCGCAGCACCAAGCTACTTCCGGGCCGGGAAGCCGCCCCCCGCCACAGCAGCAGGTAAGTAGACCAGTCCTCTCCATCTCTCCCCCAAACTTCACCGCCGACTCACTAACTAATTCTAGTCGCCGCCTGCGGCATCGTCCCCGCCGTCTTCGTGGCCTGGTCCACGGCGCCCTTCGTCACCCACGTGCACATGCACCTGCCCGCGGCGGCGCGCGCGTCCCCCGCGTCCCTGGCCCGCTTCGTCGGCGCCCTGCCGCCCGGCGCCCGCCTCACCCTCACCACCATGAGCCTCGTCGCCGCGCCGCGCTGCACCGCCGTCCGGGCCGCCGACCTGCGCGCCGCACCGCCCCGCAGCAGGCGCCTGGGCCTCGTCAACTACGTCAGGGACACGGCGGCCGACAACGCCTCCAGGAGGTGGTACATGTATCGGGCCGTGGGGGCCTTCTACGTGCAGGACGGCGGCAGCGGCAAGCAGAGGGTGACTGCCGGGCACCAGGCGAGGAGGAACAAGGCGGCGGCGGTGGATACATGGATTTGGGAGGCGGTCAGGGACAAGATTGCCAGGAGAGATGCTCCCGGCCCTGTCTGAACCTTGGTCGTGGACGTTTCAGGCAAAAGGGGGGAGCGTTGCTCAGGGGCCCGGCCGGTCGAGGCGTGGCTCTGAGCGTTTGGAGTTTTGTATTCTTACTTGCTCGGGGTGGCAAAAGAAGCAACACTGTATCAAATATCGGGAAAAAAAAAGGGGGGGGGGCAACTCATCGCTTGTTGCCGCCATATCATCATCATGCTGCAAGACTAGAGTAGAGGCACTGGGTTTCGGGTTCTTTCCCCCGGCTGTTGCTGCCCCGCGGGTTTCCATTTCGGCACCCCGGCACCACTGCTTCAACATGCCGTATTATGTACATTACATATCCAAGGTCAACTCGGATAGCACTCTCTTCTGATGTTCGCAGCATCAACTGTCCAGTCCTTTGTATTCAAATCCATTGAGCCAACTCTCTCACCGGCATGCCACCCCTTGGTATATTGCTTACCGAGTCGACCACGATTCTACTGTACATTTTACTCTGGGTACATTAAAGCATCATGTGATATCAACCTCTGATGAAATGCCATTCAAATATGCTCCCGTTAACGCCCCTTCCCATCATGGCTTCATAAGTTCGTTCCGCGGCATCAATTACAAGCTGGCTGCCATTGCCTGTTTCGACTCGACGGCTTACCCGGCCGCCTGTCCCTCCTTCCTTTGATGTCGAATACGAATTCGTTTTATTTTGTTATTTTGTACTTTTCTCCTTTTTTGATGCGTATTTGTTGTTTCCATCGTGTATATCGTCGGCCCATGTCAAGCAATTCGAACAAAGATCAAAAGCGAAAAGTTCATGTGCCTGGTAACCCTAACCGGGGTCGTTGCTGTGTGATGGAAGAAAAAGTTCCGAGTGCCTTTTTTGTGATTACGCCAACAGCGTGCCAATATTCCGCTGCAAGTCCGTCTTCGACACAACCTCCCGTTATATAGCCGCCGTGGTCCGAGCCCGTGGATTAGAAAAACTGTCGTCTTGTATCGTTGGCATTCATCGTCGCTTCATCAGCACCATTCCGCCGTCATAGTCCCAGCCTCTCTTGAGACCTCCTTCGTATACGCTGGCCACAGACTCTTGCCACATGGCAGGAGTGATAAAGTTTGGCATCGACGTCGTCGTAGAATACTGTTGGTGGGTCATCTGCTGAGTACCTGGGGACAGTGACTGATTCGACGCTTGGTCCGCAATGGTAGTTTGGTCGGGAACACCTGCAGTAACAACGTTCAGTGATGTTGCCTGAGAAGCGGAGCCTAGGACAGTGCCAGGCTGGGATGGCGTACCGAAAGAGGTATTCCAGTGTCTACATGTGGTGTTAGCGGTCCTGCCATTTTCGTGCTTGGTACTTGAAAACTTTGCCAGTGGGGGTTAAAAGGCAGCGGACGACTTACTCGAAGATACGTGCCGGATTCCAAGTCGGCGGGTTGTTGGCAAGGCCGAGGGTCTGTTGCATATCCGGGACCTGACCGTCTTGGGGCATCATGACGAGCGACTGTACGGCTGGGGAGTCACTTCTGCTGTCCATTGGGCCCACAGAAATTGGAGGTGTAATGGGGCGGTTTATATAACTGACATGTTGGTTGGAGGGATCAAGCTGATGATCCATGGAGCCTGTACGGTGCGCGGGGACGTGGTAGGCCATAGTCCCTCGGGGCGAGCTTGACTGGTTGGAGGGATGCGGACTACCATAAGGGAATGAAGGCTTGAGTACAAACGGCCGCCCAATGTCTGCAGAGAATGCTTCACGAATAGCGTCAACCTGCTTCTGCAAGTCGGGCATCGGCCAAGCTTCCATTACCGTCTCCATCAGCCTCATATGACGCTCAAAGTACTCGCGTGCATCAGAATTGAGATCAGGGTCGGGTGATACGATGGCGACCTTGTTCCGTCAGCATCCTACCGCCTTGTCTCGTCTACGCGGAACAAGTCTCAAGAAGTCACCTACCAGATGAATGACAATGCAGGAAAGACCGGCGTATAATGCGAAACTAAAGCCGCGTTGCATACTCTGCAGATCGACCAGACCATACTGTTTCAACGTGGCCTCTTGCAACCGGCAGAGGGCCTTTGCAGAGTTGTAACTAATCATCATGTGATGTTTCCATTGCGCCTCGTTTGCGGTCGGGTCGAGGAATGACAGGACTGGTCGATGATACAGGATTTGCAGGAGGTAGTAATATGAATGCAGGTTCCCTAGGAAGGATGATGGTAAATATGGCGGCGAGCTGTCGGGGGGGAAGTTGATGGTCATGTCGCCAGGCAACGCGGGAAGGTATGCTGAAATCATTTGTTCAAGTTGCTGAAACTCTGGATTGACTGCCCAATCCTTGGTTCTTCTCAGTTTCGCATAGGCGATACTCATCTTTCTGATGTTTCGCAGGATACGCGCCAGATAGGTGAAATTTCGAGAAACGTGATATTCGCTCTCGTCCCCACCCGGGATAGGGCGAGGGGGGTTAAAGTCAACCGACTCATGGTTCACGGTCAAGTCGTGTCTCCCTATTGGGCGAGGGCATTAGTCGGATTCGAATAGGATTCAAACGGGACTTGATCTGACCTTGGGGGGCCCCAACCATGTTCTCGCAAATAAAAATGGTCTGCCATATCCTTGTTCGAAGACGGCATTCAGCAGCCGTGAAACCGCAAGAAATTCCGGCTTGATGATCCTCAAAGTGTTCATCAAGTCCTAGATCCTTGCCCATCTGCACGCATTGTACGACGAGCATCCAGGAGCGGTAAAAGTACCCTCGTTTTGGAGCAGCTTCGCGAGCCTTGAGCATCATTAGTAAAGCTTGGAGGGTACTTAGTCTGGGTACGTCCATGAAAGAGTCGGCATGTCCTATTCAGTGTATATCGTGTTAGGTATAACAGATTGGCTTGAAAGCGAATGGGAAGTTCAGCTGGTCAACGTACTTGACGCCAGCGCAAGCCACTGCTGTCCCATTGCCGGCTCCTCCGCCAACCGGCCGCCAATGGCGAAGATTGCTTCAAGGATGAGGGGGGAAATAGACTCTCGGCCCGTGTTCCATTGCTGATAGAATGCGGCTTTATCCAAGACGGGGACATACGGGTGCACATGGCGAAAGTAAAGGTCGAAATGGTGTAGGGCGGTAGACTCGTCCGGCATCAACGCTGGGGGAATACGAATCTTGTGACCTGGTATTGCCGTCACGGCAGGTAGAATGGAGCCGTAATCGTCGTCATCCTCCACCGCTGGCTGTTCTTCCTGGCGAAACGAAGCCTTGTTTCTCAGATATGGCGCTAGAGTGCCCCCAAGTTAGTCCATAGTGTCCTGTCCACACGCTGTCTCAAGCCCGAAACATACCCGTTCCAATTTCATTGAGTCGGAGCCCGCCCAACAGGTCTGCGAAATCCTGCTGTTGGTACGAGTCGACGGACTGTGCTTCTGGGGATGACTCTGGCCTTGGTCCCTGGTGCATTGGCGGCGTCGGAAAGGCGTCGGGACCTCCATAGACGTGGTCCAATACTGTCGCAGCTGGCACCGTGGTGTAGTGCAAGTTGTGTTGGCCCGGCGCCGTGTCAAATGAGACTTGCTGAAAGGCGGATTGGTCTCGGTCGGTGAAGGAGCCTTGGTATACGTCTGGTATTGGCTTTGAAGAGTCGTGTCCGGCTTGTCCCGGCAAGGACATTTGCTGAAACTGGGCGGAAGGATCCAGGATGGTATCGTATGTGGTGGTTGTATCCGAGCCTTCATAACCGTTTGGTCGCACGCAGTGAAGCTTGAGGCGGATACATGCCGAGCACGGCCAGGTGTTGGTGGTGGCCGCATCGCACTTGATCTTTCTTTTTCGACAGCCTTCGCACGCTCTCATAACTATTGCCAAATGGTCAGAACTTGGGCGCGTGGACATGCGAGCGAGGCGATGCCTCTGGTCCAGTCAAACCTTTGAGTCGCTTGTGGCGATTGTGTTCGTCGACGAAGACATAATCTGGAGCAGGAGCCGTCAGCCTACGGCACAGCGCATGGCCCCGGCGGCGGGTGACGGTGCGTCGCAACGAGGGCGCAACCAGGATACTAACTCTTTTGCGTTTCCCTCTGGGGAAACTGCTGGGGTGCAAACTGAAAGGAACTCATTTGCGCGGTTTGTGCGTGGTGAACATGCTGCGGTGGAATTCGTCGGATGGGGGGGTCGGTGGACATTGCTGGCGGCGGACTCCGAGGACGAGGTCGCGCAACGGCCCCAGGGACAGAGGCGCTGGGCTCTGCTATCGAGGAGAGGCGTCTACGGCAGCGGCGGCGGCGGTACTGGTATAATTACGGCTGCCAAAGCCTCGGGGTGTCGGGAAGAGGTGAGGGAGCCTGGCCGTCGACATGAAGCCGACACAACGAGCATCTGGTCGCTTGGTGAGAAGGGGAGATGAGGCGGCCGCAACAACCTCGACAGTCACGTCCACCATCCAAGATGTGGGGGAGACAGCCGCCATGGCAGTTATAAGGACAGCCGGGCTGGGCTGGAGGCCGGCACAGACAAAGCAGTCGTCCATACTAGTACAACTATCCGCTGGGACAGGGACGTGGGCATCAGGAGGGCCAAGGGTGGGTTTTTTCTGGATCCCAGATCTGCCAGTCGGCTTCAGCAAGTGTGGACGAGTCGGCGCCGCGGCGGATTGGTCAACGTCGTCTCGGATGAGGGGCGAGGGCGTTTGCGAGCAACGCGCTTGAAGAACCAAGTGATGCAGGCCTGGCCAGGGCTCGGCTAGCGGGCCTGACTTATTATTAGTCGAGAGTGAGACTGTCTTGCCTCGGGGATAGATGGGATAGCTCCATGGGGGGGTGCGTCCAGTCCACAGCGTCGGTCGAGGTCGACAGGAGGTCGTGGCCTGCAACCTGCAACCTGCAACCTGCAACCGGGAAACATGGAAGCCAGGAAGCTTGAACAGGCTCATTGCTTCCCCAGTTGGGAGTGCTCGCTGCTGGCCATGGCACGAGCTGAGACTGATGAGTCTGAAACGGGTCATGAATGGTCTCCTGCTTTGTTGCTCTGTC